GGACCTGCCTGCAGACGGAAGCAGGAGAAGAAATGTGTTTCAGCATGTTTATTTGACATGTGGTATGTCCCAGGGGCATCTTGGCACCCAGGGAGAAAAACATCTTCTGCTCTCAGAGTGTCCTAAGACAACAATTTACACACAAAAAAACAAGCACTTGGTATTCACAGTGTGATTTAAAAAACTAGCAAGCCTTGAGCCGAGGGGAAAGGGCCTGTCTCCTGCTCCCCTTTGCAAATAAAAGCAGAGGCACTGAGGGTCTGAGTTTTAGCACTGAATGGGAGCAGAAAGTGAGGTGTGGCTTCTTTTCCTAGAAGTAGTTCTCTTTCCTAATCAGTGAACACACTGCTTGGTAACATACAGGGATCTCAGGGACACCAGTGAGATATAACACCTCTTATGTTATTTCTCTATTCTTTAGGAATTAGGGAAGCAGACTGAAAAAAATCATCTTCTAGGAAAAGCATTAATTCATATTTTAATCAACATATTGATAAACACTCCTCACCACCTCTTTTCACAGATTAGCTAGATAGTCCTGCCTCAACTTGGGAGAGAACCAATCCCTGAAAAACACAGTTCTAAATGAACTATAGCAAAAGCCCATGAACAGCTTATACACTTCGTCTTTGGAGTTCAGGAAAAATAAGTGTACTGGGAAGTAAAGTGAAATAGAGTGGATTTAGACAGTATATCTTCCTCTGACCCTACAACAAGACATTAAGGAGACACACCTCAGATGTGGAAAAAATGTTTTTTTAAAATAAAATTATGTACTTATTTGTCTATACAGGAGTTTTGTAGTGAGTTGGAAAGCAAAAGCAAAGAGGGATGGAGTCTGGAAAAGACGAAAGATATTTTGTTATTGTTTTGCATTTCTCTTTGTTTGCTTGTTCATTTTTCTTCTTGAGTCCATTCCTTTGTGCAAGAACGAGTAGTTAGTTTAGAAGAACTTGCCTATCCCACCTTCACTGATCATCCATCACTGAAGAAATACAATCTAGCCTGAAGTAGCCTCAAGAGTTAAAGATATAAGTTCTACTTATTGGACAAAGATTCGTATGAGCTTCAGAGGGAAAACTAATCTTGGAGGACGGTACAGTTAGGCCATGGTAGTTTTGCCTCCTATGTGGTCAAGAAAGACAGGGACTACTGAACATGCCTGCAGTTTATCCCTTAAATAGAGATAGCTTATGGTCCAGTACAGAAACACAGCTATCAGGTTTGCAAATAGAAAGAAGAGCTGAGTTCAGGTGGGCTGATTAGGAGTCTCAAACACATCTTAAGCTTGTCAAACCTACGAAGAAAAGTGACTAGTATATGGATTGTCTGATAGTACGGAGCACTGGAACAGGCTGCCAAGAGAGGTTGTGGAGTCTCCTTCTCTGGAGATCTTCAAAACCCGCTTGGATGCAGTCCTGTGCCACGTGCTCTAGGTGTCCCTGCGTGTGCGGGAGGGTTGGACTAGATGGTCTCTAGAGGCCCTTTCCAACCTTAACGATTCTATGAGTCTATGATATGCAACAATAGCAAAGGCTTTCTCAAGATAAAATAGGAGTGAAAAATATAGATGGTTGAAGAGTACTGATCTTCAAATTGTTCTGCTTGTCTTTGCAAACTTTAGAGCCATGGTAGGTAAGCTACCTCTTTTAACCCTGGGAAGGCTGTATTCTTGCAACATAGCTTTCTCTTGAGCATGAGAGGAGTGTAAAAAATAGCTATAAGGATTAGCAAGTGAACAGCACATCTTGTATCTTTTGTGGTTTAGGAAGAGGATTTTGTAATGGAAGCAAAGTTACATATAGACTGGATTTTGATTCTGCTGTGTCCTCTCTGTGTCAATGCAGGAAGGAGATGGGGATAGCAGTCATTAATGGTCAAGAGTTCTGAATGTATTTCAGGCTTAAAATAAAAGAAATAGAACTAATCTGTTTATCCAGAAATTTTGTACCAGGAGGGAAAAAGAAGTCTCTAGGATCAATTTTTCATAAGAACATAAACAAACTATGTTTACCTGTCAATGGACCCTCTCCCAGCAACATTTCCTGATAGAGGCTTCAGGGGTCCCACACTTCAGCATGGCGGCAGAGAACACTACTCACGCGTTAGTTCCACAGAGCAGAAAGCCTCACAAGACCCTTCCTGAGCCTCTGTGATGGTACCCCTCATGAACTACAGCCATGCAGGCATGAAAGAGTCTCATTTCCTTGCATAAAGCTTTTGCTGCAGAGCTCCCCATGTAAAAAAGTTCTCTTTGATGAGTAACTTCTCCTCCTTTTCTTGTTCTTGTGCTTCGCTCCATTAGTAGCATTATTTTGCCTTCTTACATCTTTCAGTTGGAGCATTTTCGTTTAGATAATTCACCAAGTCAATATGAATTTTAGTGCTGCTAGCCTAAGCAACATAGTAACTTCTAGAATATTTTTCAAGCTAAGGATTTGAGTGATAACCCAGATAATGGATCACTTGTTCTTCTCTGTTGACATTAACAAGACCTTACTTAACAGCATTTACCTGGTGAAAGCATCTGAAATGCTAAACCTGTTCATAGGCCAATGAAAGGTAATTATCAGACTGCAGCATATTGCTACCTCATGAGTCTGTTAGCACTAGTCTGAATGTCATGTGCTTTCACACACTGGAAGGCTTAACACTTTGCTTGTTCAGTCATAATAGTGTGCAGGTACTGTTGTGTTTTTACAGGTTTCTCTTTTAAGACAACAGAGGTTATGTGAACAAGTTAGTGAAAGTGAAAAAGTGACTGTTTATCATTCTGTCACTTGCTATTCATTGATTAAATTTTGCTTTGGGTGGGTATTAGCTTCATGCTCGTGCCTTGTAGAGCATAAAATTCCCAGCTGGTGCCTAGGTGACAAAGCCAAGGACTCTGGACCAAATTCATCATTTCTCTTCAGATTTCTTGTAGTAGTGGCACTTATGTTGTATGTGCTACCTTCTATGTCTTTAATACGTTGGTTAAAAGTATTAGCAAACCTAGCAAATAACTTCTTCTGAAACACTGAAATTCTTCCACTATTTTGTGCAATGTATGATGCCATGCTTACCGTGTTTGAACAGTGTTTGGACTGGCTTAGATACATGATACCCTTCCAATCCTGTTTCCTCTGCCTCACTTGCCAGGAACATGCGTGGTCCAACCGTCCAAATCATTACATCAGTGTGTCTCAATACCACTAGCTGTCACTGTCATTGCTGTTGTGCTGGTGGATGTCTGAGCTTTCCAGGGCCCCCTGCCTGAGTCAGTCTGTGCTCTATGAGAATGTGCGGTCTTTTCATTTCGCCTAGTAAGCAGAGGAATAGTGAATATGTTGTATATTGTGGTTCAGTGAAACTGCTCCTTCCTGCAAGAAGCGGGAGGAAGAAAAGAGGCAATGGGCACAAACTGGAATACAATAAATTCCATTTTTACATAAGAATTTTTTTTTCTTACCATGAGGTGATAAAATATTGAAACGGGTTGCCTAAATGGATTTCTCCATCCTTGAAGATATTCAAAACTGTATTATCCTGAGCAACAACATTCTGTAAGTGACCCAGCTTTGAACATGTGTGTTGGACCAGGTGATCTCCAAAGGACTCTTCCAACCTCAACTGCTCTGTGATCCTCTCACAACAGTTTGAGAACCATCAAATCAAGATGCTCAAGCCCAGTATCTATCTTGAGCAGATTTTTCAGGAACTGGTTCACAATGAATTGTGAAGAAACATACTGAACTTCAGGATAAAGTAGAATCCAGGAAAAGCAGAGACTTCTTTGTGTTAGAATTGGTTATCACTCTTCATGTTTCTCTCCCTTCCAGTTTTTGCACTTCCTGCTCACTTCACCCCTCTTTGTGACAATATCCAAGCCTACCTCATACAGATGTTCTCCATTTACTGCTGATGTGCTTTTGCGCCTGGCCAGCTATGTCTTTTCTTACTCCTCTTCTCATCCCCGCCAAGAAGAGTATTTCTAAGGCTACAAGAGTTTCCCATTGGCTCTAGTATGATTGCAATAGAAAATCATAGATTCATTTACAATTATTATGCTGCTTAAACATTTTTTCTTTCGAAAAATGTGATAGAGCTTCCCAAAAACAGGATCTCAAAAGAAAATAAATTCTTTTTTTTGGACTCAGCAATAAGGAGGGAAATATGTGGGTCATCTAAATAGGCTGCTTTTAAAACTTTAATGTCTGTCCAATTAATAAGCAGCAAAAATTGATATGTTTTCAAAATTTTCATGGTGGTTCTATCATTGTAATTAAATCTTGAAGATAAAAATAAGCAGCAGTGAAATCAAAACTCTCACTGGTAAAACACCCACTACATTGTGATTGGGTTTTCTTTACATATTTTAAATACCTTTGACTTTTCAAACTCTCAAATAGTGTGCCACTTAGTGAGGAATGTATAAATTAGTCAAGTGTGATGACCGTCTTAGTTACCAGGAGATAAATGCTGCAAACTTTGAATTATGTGCACAGATCCAGTTTTATTTTAGTTACCTGGAAAGAGCTCAGTAGCTATACAGAGTATTTTGGAAACTGGACACTAGTTGTATTAAGTATGATTAGCCTTATTACAAATCTTTGCTCAATTATTCTTGAAGATCATTATACATGAAGCACTTTATTGCTCCTATTTAAAACAAGATTTGACAAACAAATTGTTAAAAAAAAAGTAAAAAAAAATGCACAAAACTATCAAAATGGCCCATGGCATTAAAACCAAGACTTAATAGTAAAAAAAAAAAAGAGCTGTTGTTAGTAGTATCCATTATACTACCCAAGGTACAAGTGACTAGAAGCTTAAAAGTTTACATTATTAATTACATTGAGAACATACATACGTGTAGGCCTACTAAGTAGTGTCAGATAATGTTTAAATCCCCAGTTTTTGATATTCTCAGTATAATATCAAAAGTGTAATTAAAAGGAGGCTAGAATCAGAAAACAAACTACTAAATTCTGACTTGCCAGTAGCCTCTGAAGTAGCTCATGGCACTAGTTAGCATAGTGTCCCATAATCAGCATTCATTCAAGATAACTACAGGTTGCCTGGAAGCTGCCCTACTGTAGTTCTATGTACAACTTATAGAAATATAGCTGGCCATCAGTCTTAGCCTTATATGTCTTCTGTCCCTGGTTAAACATTCAGTAGGTCTTAAGGAAGCACGTGCTGGTGCTTCTCAGTTGTTCTCCTGTGGCACTGCTGCTGCCTAAAAAAAGAAAGAGGAGAGAGATTTTTTTAAGGAAAGAAACTTAGTAGTAGACTGTGATCATCTACATGCTCTTAACGTGGCCCTTAACAGTACCAGAGCAGCTCAGCACCTCAGAATATTTAACATATTTCTTTTCAATACTTGCAAGATAAGAAGTTACTATCCACATTTTATAGAGGATACTATGGCCCGGATACCACAGTACCTATTAATATTACCATGAGCAGGAAGAGTCAACTGAGGAATGCTTTCTCCTCAGTAACTTTAGGGTGTCTTTTCTGTTAGAAATACTGTGCTGCATTTCATTCTGACTGAAACTAGAACTCCAGTCTGAAAGACAGGTTGCAAAGATATGACCTGGCCTAGGACATTTTCTGATAGCAAGAACTTCTGATTAGCTCTGACAGTTAGGACATAATGTGAGGTTTTCCTCAGTGAACTTTCAAATCTCTGTTCGTTCGCACTTGAACTGTGGAAACAGTCTCTTTCTTGAGCAAGTCCTTGGTAAGTTAACTACATACAATTTCAATTATTAAGTCTTCTGACTGGTACTTATTTACTCTTTAGTTAATTAAGACTTCAGCATAAGCACTAAGGATTTACCTGAGTTTTTACCTACAGGGAAAATGTCAGACAAATGATGCTTTAATTATCTACTTACTAATGAAATACACAAGTATGCTTAGCACTACTTTTACTTTTAATATACAGTTCTCTGCCTTCCTATGTCCTTTTAAGATCTGGTAAATAGAGAAAGGCTTGAGTTTCCAGTGAGCATTCCAGAAACCCTCATTGAAACCAGAAGGTTTTGTAGCACAAAGTCATTTCAGGCAGTTGGATGGCTGAGACTAGCTACGACTCTTCCCTTGCTGGAATTCCATTTATAGGAATTCATGAAAGAGACACAGTGATTAATATTTACCTCTCTCCTGTAAGCCAGATCCCATTTCCCACAAAAGGTGCAGACACTGCCAGTCGGTTACAAATCAAGAGAAGGAATACAGTCCAAACTAAAGTATCTACTTTAATTTACTATCTTACACATTTCCTATCCAATAAACACTTAAAATGAAAAGAAAACAAGAAACTATTGAATTTTTGCATGAATTTTGGTTTTTTATCTTCATTTTCCTTTAAAATCTGAATTACAAATTTGAGCTTATTTTCTCAAAGACCTTTTGGACTTGTGAAGGTTAAAGTTCTATTTCAACTGCTTAGTAAAGTTGTAATTATTTAATGTGACAAGCTGCAGAGAAATAAATTACACTGGGCTTGCTCATTATACAAATCTTTAGCTGGATCTTATTAAGGGCTCGCTCTCTAGAAGTCCAGAGCACTGATTTCTGGCCTCAGTGAAAGGTGAAAGTGTTCTGCATCTCACAAAAAGAGTCTTTGAACCTCCATAGCTGACCCAAAAAAAATCTGTCTTTTCTCCCCTAGTATGTGATTACATTTTCCAACCCGCAGAAAAGCGCTAAAAGGAAACCCTATCAAACCCTGCCAGATTCCTAGTTTGGTCCACCAAAGCCCGTTTAAGATTTCCTTTCCGTCCAAAACCAATCTCTTGACATTGTTCAGGAATGCAGAAAGCAGCCAACCAGTCTACTCTGTCTCAGAGTAAGTATTTCCATTTAGAAGTTTTGATTTTAAGAAGTCTGAGTGCTTATCTGGCTCTACTTCCAGTAAGTTACAGGGTTTAAAACAGCTGGCTTGAAATGTGATGCTTTTTGGCAGAACAGTTTAGGCAGGGAATGTTACACATGACTTAGATTAGCTAAAATAATCTAGCTGCCTTGCAGCTTTCCATTGACTAGGTTGTATTTACTGACTGAAGATGCTTAACTACAACAAAGTTTTCATTAATCCTCTTCTCTGCCCAAAATTACTCTCTGGCCGGTAAAGGGGAACTGGGCTCTTCCACACCTTACGCAACTGGACGCTATCCATAGGGGAAGGGAAAGGAGTGCTGAGAGCTGGGCAGTCAAATCCAGCATCATCACTAACAGATGGTAAGTTCTCAGCCTCAGTTTTCTTATTTATGAAATGTGTGGTTGCAGTAATGCACTTTCTTACAAAAGAGGGAAGAGAACTCCATATAAGGGAAGTGCAAATTGACAAAGAGTATTTCTGAAAAACCTCTTATGCTGATGCTAGGTATAGATGCCCCAGGAACTGTGAGATTGCAACTCCTATCTGTCCTGTAGAGCCCCTCAAGGGCCAGCTCTGCGCAGACAGAAGTGCATCCCTCCATGCTGTCTTTGCACAAGGACCTGCCAAGGAAGGTATTATGCCATACTTACACATACAGTCCTTTCACCAAACTTGCTATAGAAGGTCATTTTGACTTTGTGCTTGTGCCCAGTCCTTTGGTCAAAGGTGTTACAGCTGTCGAAGGGTGGGCTGTACAAATGCAGGCTAACAGCAGACTCTGTGTGGCTTATGTTCTCCACACGATGCAAGCCAATGGAGTCTAGAAAGGACAGGGCATGAAATGAAAGGTCATATTAACAGGCAGCTTTAATGAAATCTCATAAAAACCTGGAAGGGTGCCATCTAATTTGAAACCTCAGCAGAAGTCAGTCTCTTGTATTCTGAGGGACAATGTGTAACTCTACAGCAAATTAGACTGCTCGTCTCTAGCACAATTTCCTAAATATATTCGTACTTTGAAATATCCTACCACCTTCAACACTTGTAAATTACTGGATTATCTACTATGGGATAAAGGCCAAAAGAAATCCAAAGGAGCTTAAAGAGGGCTGTGCGGTCAGCAATCTGCCAGCTGCCACTCCTAAATGAGTATAAGGTTTTCTCTCCTAGGAGATACTGTTGTTCTGTAGAAGCAGAAAGATTTGTGTTTCTAAAAATCAGCAGGATGGCTAACAGGAAGACTTTCTGTATTGCTAAATCTCACGCAGTAACAAGAACATCAATTACGTGAAGAGTCAGTTGCTTTTATTTGGAGCATGTACTCAGGCAGAGATATACTTGTCTTCTGTTGCAGACATCCACTTCCTAATTAATCTTTCCAATTTTTTAATTTGGAGCAGAACAGTCTTTTCACATGTCTGGTGTTTTGTCTAAGGTGACAGATAACTGATGACTGGCATACTTCCAACATTAACTGAACAGAAAGCATAGCTGAACATGTAATAAGAAACTGTCTGTTTTGTGGCTACTAATGAAGTAATGGCATTTTCTGGACAATGGATTGGAAGTCGAAGTATTACATAAAAAATGTAATCTAATAAAAGCACCAATTTTCACTCTACATTAAAATGGATTTTCTGAGTTATTTAAGAGACCTTACTTTCAAGTTTATGACTTCTACTGTAAGAAAACTACTCAGGCCTTTGCACTTAAGTTAATATGCCATATAACACTCAGAACTATATTAGGCAATGTAGGCACAAGTCCTGGGTACTACAAGTACTCTTCAAATGTATCAGAATTAAGAGTATAAGCCTCAAGTGTCATTAACATAATCTAACTAAATAAAAGATGGGGTAAGAAAAAAAAAAGCCCTAAGGGTGTGCTTATTTAAAGACAGGTTCCAATAAACTCAAATTACTGAGTGAAGCATTCTGAATCTATGACTTTTGCATTTTCAGTTAACATGGCAGAGCTGCAGTAAAGGGCTGGAGCCTAGTCCTTAGCCTTCGCCTCATGCCCATCACCGTGGCCTAATTTATTCCATGGACAAATGCTTTTACATGTTCGCCCTAGGATTTCCATGACAGATCACAAGGATTTTATCGTTGTGAAGAAATGTCACGATGAATAGAAAAATTAAGCTTTGTTGCTTTTGCTTTTCACAAAATACAATTTAAGCTTTATGTTTACATGCAGTTGCAGACAGTTATTTGGGACACAGTGCTGAAGAGTGCTCTGTATAGCAGAGCTACCCAACAACTTTAAATACCAAGCAGTTTGTTGCAACAAAGTAAATACCACAATATCTTAAGAGTGAATTAAAAGCGAAAAGAATGTTTTATTGAATCTGAATACAGGGTTGCAGCCAAATTGTTCAAATGTGTAAAGCGTATGACGCTGTTAAAGGTAAGAGCCAAGTTAGAGCATAAACTATTAGGAGTCAGATTCAGAGGTGAGCAGCTGTCAAATAAGATACTTTAAGAGCTTACCATTAATATAGGCACATTGATTTTCTCTAAGAACACGTTCTGATTTCTTATCCATTTCGCCATTTCCTTTTTTCTCAGGCCATTCAAACAGGGTTTCCTTTAGATTTCCTTGGAGGATCTTCATAAAGCAGTGTGAGTCAGTATGATCATGGATACTGCTATATTAGCAAAAAGAATAACCAAACTCAGTGTGATAATAGCTACTAAATTTAAATGCAGCAAGCATATGGCATAGCAAATTGTACCTGGGCATAGCTCTAGAATGAAACGCTGTTACATGCTTGTCATGCACACACACACACGCACAAAAAAAAAAGTCTTTGAAAGAAACATTCACCATGACCTACTTAAAACTGTATTAGAAATGTGTTAGGAGAAGTTTGTACTTATCAGGACTTGGGGGAAAGAATATATATGTGTGTATATCAGATATCTGTCAGCATATGACCTTGCCAGAGAGAAAAACAAAGCAAATCTGGAGGAGGAAGGAGGACAGAAAAGCTTTCCAAAATACAAAAACTCTGTAGGCTAAGAAACAAAGGGATTTTTTTCTTGGTGTTTCTTATCATCCTGTATTTCAGCCTGTGTGTGTGTTTTTTTTTTTTTAATCAGGCAGAGGCCAGTGTAGATTTATATGTAGACCAGCTATATTTGTAGATCCATAGTGCTCCCTTCCTAAACATGGAAAAATGAGCTACTTCTTCATTTCTAGAACCTCTCTCCTGTTGAGGGGCATAACAGTTTTCTGAAGAAAGAAAATGCTGTCTTTGACACTTTAACAGTACTAAGTACAACAGACTACAGCAAAAAAAATCCTACATGGGCAAATCATGAACAGCAGGAGGAGCTGGCATGATCTGCTTGCTTGATCTATCTGCTTTCTTGGAAGTATATTTTAATTAATACATGTAGAAGCTTAGAGAGTTGATATGCATTTCAGTTTAGTTTAGTTTTTATTATTATTATTATTTTTAGCTGTTAGACAAGGTGGTGGGGTTAAGACAAAGAGAGAGCTCTCCAGTCATGGCTGAGGGAGAGGGAACTTGGCCCTTCCTGAAGTACAGTGCTAATGAATTTCAACCAAAAACAGGATACTTGCACATTACTGTTTTCAATAAACAAATGCCATTTTCTTCCAAGCTGAGATGCCAAGACAGCACAGCTTGCTTCAGGCACAGAGCAGTTCACAAATGCCATGTGGTCGTTCATACTCCTTGCACAAGCCATGAGAACAACTTGATCCTCTTCATGTAGGAAGCAAAAACAAATCGTGGTCTGAGTCTAGCTCCTAGCAAATGTTCATTCCTTGAAAATGCTCTTCCAGCCCAAACACAGTTTGAGATGAATTACGGTCCTTGTGGGAAAGGCCTAGGAGGAGTAGAGGAGATGGGCTCTCTGGGTATAACTGCATGGCATTCCCAGGAGAATATTTTAAGTGCTCAATATGCAAGCTCAATCAGAAACAAAAGCAATGCCCAGCTTTGGGGGGTTTCTCCTTATGTGCAAGGACAATCAGTTTATTTTATTCCACATTTTGTTTTATTCTCCAAGGGACAGATCCTGCCCTCACTTTTGCAGTATCATATGCAATCCAGCAAATGATCCACAGATAGAATTCTTTGTCCTTTCTGAGGGAGGCGCTGGGATGTCTGGAAGCTACAGAGAGACACAAAGTCTGGGCAGGGGCTCCCTCCTCGCACCGCACACTCCTACCCAAACCCACTTTTCTCTTTGCCTTGCTGAATGTAAACTCTGGATGTAAACAACATGAAAAAAAACTGTTTGAACTGGATCAAGTCCTGCTTCTTCAGCACAAAGTGAGGCAGATTTCTCAGAAGCAACGGGATCCATTTCGTGTCTGTAGGACCTACTATATCTCTGAGATTAAAAACTTCTACCAAATTTGTGCTTTCTCCTGTCTGTAGAAGACCTTAATAATATTTTAAGTTCTGAAAGTGTACAAACTTAAAAAAAAAAAGAAAAAAATAAAAGAAAAGAAAGAAATATTCAGGACGGCCATACCAAGGGAGTAAGTATGAGTTCTGTACTGCCTAATTGCCTGACATTTTCTAACGGTTCCATTAGGGCATTTTTGTCTTTTCATATGAAACTATTCCAAGCAAAAGATACTGTAACTTCATATCTCCTTGGTAAAACCATAAGCTTTGGATACAAACCTGCCATGCCCTTCACCCCAGCACAAGATCATCAAGTTGAACTTTCCATTTCCACTGTCCACAAGGTTTCTTGTATATCTGAAAGACAAAGTGTTTGCTTTTAAGAATAATCAGTACCGATATGCTGAATAAAAAGTAAGCAAACATGGTTATGAAGAAAGGTTGCGCCCTATAAAAATCTTTTGTCTTTTCTTGAAAACAAAGTTTCATTGGGAAAAGTGAAACTGAGTTTTTAAACTCTTTTTGCAAATGTACTTTTTCTGGGAAGAAAAAAAAATGGGCCTGACTGATATTGGATAGTCATATTGCTTTTGAATTACCTAGATGATTGGAGTTTGAGAACTCACAGTCTGCAACTAGAGTGGACGACAGGATCAAATCAAAATAGTTACTGAATGAAGTCACTTCAGCAGCTGGCTGATAATTAGAAACAGAGTGCAATGAAAAAGAAAAATACATGGTTACATTCTTCTACAGTTCATTTTCAGATATTCTTGGCTGTTCTTTCTCTTGGGCAGCACTCCTGCATATTAGGCAGAAAAAAAAAAAAAAGGAAAAGAAAAAAAAAAGGGAAAAAAAGGAAAAAAGAAATTACACTATCAGTCTTACTGTACATGGTATTCTTACTTTTTTTTTTTTTTTTTTGGGGGGGGGGGGGAAAGATTCTGCATCTTGGACTGTGACATTCTTGTACGGATAAAATATCTACCATGTAACTTGCTGCCACCATCACCTACCTCTAAGCAAAGTTTATCCTAGCAGCATAATTTTAAAAGGTCTTCTTATGATATCTTGGAAATAACACAGAGTAAACCTATTCCCAAAGGCTATCTATCCATATGTGTGTCCTAGACCACAATTTGCTTTCAGGGGTGAAAACTTTTTGTACCACAACATTTGAACCTGGTCCCTGCACAGAAGTCTGCCCAAGCTGCTGCTTGTTGCATCCCATGGGGAAGGTCGCGGAGCAGAGTGTGTGTGTTGCTGCACACTTAGTGTTCCTGTACACACCACTTTGCACAGTGAGGTCCTGATCCAGGGCCAGTGCCCCTGCTGTCCTGGTGCAGGAACCACTCGGATCTTTCCCTTCCTTCTCAGCCTTTGTCACAGCCCAGTCACAGAGTGCCCAGAACAGAAGCAGTGATGCCTGTGCCTGGAAGACTCACTCTTACCTGCTTACAGAGAATGGTCACTTGTGACAACTGGGTGTTTTGCATTTTTTTTTTAATAAAGTCATTCCATTTTAATGGAAATATGACATTCATAACAAGTCACTATCAAATCATTACATTTATATCTACATACTGCCTTTTATTCTGTCCGCGAACTGTGTATTAGGTAGATATATTTTCCTATGATGACAGAACTCAAGCAATCACTGTTGGCATTTGACAGGTATTTTCAAGTGCTGTTATTTCTGTACAGCAGGTCTGCATGGCCAAAAGAAAGACCCTTATGCATACTTCTGGGGTTACCCCACTTTATTTTTCTGGTTCTTAAGTTTTCCATTTTGTCACCATCTTGCCATTTATGAGCATTTATGAAGGGAGGAAAGCCAATGAGAGAATGGAGAAGGAAAAGAAGAAGAGAAAGAGGAAAAAGCAAAAAAGAAGAAAAAGCAAAAAGAAGAAAAAATGGAAAAAGAAGAAAAGAGGAAAAAGAAAAAAGAAAAATAAAAAAGAGGAAAAGAGAAAGAATAAAAAGAAGAATAAAAAAGATGATGCTTGCATGATAAAGAGATTAAAAGTGGAAAATGTTTTGTTGTTTGGGGAGGTGCTAGAATAAAATGTATTTACATGTAAATTTGCAACACGAGAGTTACCAGTGGGAGGAATAAATGAGAAGTTAGCGAAAAGCAAGTGACTGAAAACCCCGTCTGCTCGTGCTGCAGCGGGGACCGCACGGCGGGACCGCACCGCGCACGCCGCGCATCGCGGGGCGGCGGCCCCGCGGCTCCCGTGC